TTGAGCCACATCCCCAGCCCCAAACTTGATGCTCTTAAGCAAGCCCCAGCTGTGACTATAAAGATGTTCACTCCAAAGACCTTGTTAATGATGAGTCATTATAGATTGTGTCTTTTTTTTATGATACTGGGGGTTCAACCTAGGACTATGCTACCAATGAGCTACACCCCTAGCACTTCTTTTTTTTTTGGTACCGGAGATTGAACTCAGGGACACTTGACCACTGAGCCACATCCCCAGCCCTATTTTGTATTTTATTTAGAGACAGGGTCTCACTGAGTTGCTTAGGGCCTCGCTAAATTGCTGAGGCTGGATTCAAACTCATGATCTTCCTGTCTTAGCCTCCCAATCTGCTGGGATTACAGGCATGTGCCACAGAGCCTGGCTCCCAGCCTTTCTTATTTTTATTTTGAGACAGGGTCTTGCTAAGTTGCTTAGGTCCTCAGTAAATTGTCCAGGCTGGCCTCGAATGTGTGATTCTCCTGCCTCAGCCTCCTTAGTCACTAGTATACATGCATGCACCACCAACACTGGCTTGGAGGTTTGCATGGTGACTTTTGACTAGCACCCAGATTCTAATGTTGAATGAATTGGAATACTTGAGTTCTCCTAACCTCATTCATCTTTTCAAAAGAGAATCTCTGGTTAATGGGACACAAATCAGAAAAAGATATATGCTGGAAGAATTGCCCACCAAATCATGTTTCCCGAACCATGGAATTTGTGAAGTACAGTTGGAAAGAAGGAAAAAGAAAGTTTGAAAACTTACAGTGTCTGAATCAGCATCAGGTACATTTAGGTAGGTCCACTTCCTGTCAGAGACTGCTTGAGCATTCTTTAAGACAGCCAATGATCAAAAGAAAAGGAAGATTAGAGCATAGAAGTCAGAGAAGCAAAGAAAAAGACTTACAGGCACACAGATTTAAAAAAAAAAAAAAGGGGGGGCTCCTAAAACCTTCCTCTCAAGGAACACTTTGAACACTAAAGAATGGGCTTGATTCTGTAGGCAGTGGGAAGCTGCACTAGAGACATCTGAGTGGTATATGGGTTTTTTGTTTGTTTGTTTGTTTGTTTTTTGGTACCAGGAATTGAACTCAGGGACACTCGACCACTGAGCCCATCCCCAGCCCTATTTTGTATTTAATTTAGAGACAGGGTCTCACTGAGTTGCTTAGCACTTCGCTTTTGTTGAGGCTGGCTTTGAACTCACAAACCCCCTGCCTTCGCTTTCCCAGCCACTGGGATTACACGCATGCACCACTGCGCCCAGCGCTGAGTGGTATGTTTTGCAAATTGACTGACAGTGGTGTGGAGGACAGTTGGGAAGTGGAGAGAATGGTGTCATGGAAACTTGCCAGCAGAGAACTAAAATCATTTATAAGCTTGAGCTAATTGGGCCTAAACTAGAAAATGGAGAGATTTTTAAAACTCCACACAAAATTGTACAAATTTATGGGGTAGTGTTTGAAAATTCAATACATGCACATGATATATAATGATCAAATAAGGGTAATTACATTTCCATCTCCTTAAACACATTATTTCTTTGTGTTGGGAATCTTCAAACTCTTCAGGCACTTTATAAAATGGGAATGAAGAGAATTTTTTGATTTTTTTAAATTGTTTTGGTATTAGGGATTGAGCCCAGGGTCACTTTACCACTGAGCTATATCCCCATCCCTTTTTATCTTTTATTTTGAGACAAGGTCTTGCTAAGTTGCTGAGGCTGGCCTCTAACTTGAGATTCTCCTGCCTCAGCCTCTAAAGCAACTTGGATTATATGTATGTGCCAACATAAAAGGCTAAGAATTAGGGGCTGAGGTTGTGGCTCAATGGTAGAGTGCTCACCTAGCATGCACGCACAAGGCACTGGGTTCGATCCTCAGCACCACATAAATGTAAAATAAAGATATTGTGTTCACCTAAAACTAAAAAATAAATATTTTTTTAAAAAAGGCTAAGAATTAAGAGATTTTAAAGCCTGGGCAAGAAACATGGAAGGAACCAGGAGCCTTAGATAAAGCCCTCATAAAGTTAGACTAAATAGTACTCTGTGGGCAAAGGATAAGTAGGAATCTACAATGACTTTTAATTCAGTCTCACACATTTTCTCAAGAACATTCATTTCTTCTTTGGAAATGCACAGAAAATTAACAAGAGAAAGAAGAAAATTTCTGTATGTGCTAGAGAACTGCTTACAGTTGACAGGCCACCTGCCAGACTGTGGGTGTTTGCAGAAAACTGGGAGGATGCTAAGTCAACGCCTTCAGTGTCTTCCAAGGAGATCTAAAAAAGGAGGAGAGAAAATCAGTTGTTTCATTCATTTCTTTCCTAGAAACTGTTTTAACTGAAACACAACTTTCTTTCATAAATATCTGAAAATCAGATTAAAATATCTAGAAATCATCCCATTCCTAGGACGCCCCCGCCCCAGTCAAATTGAATTACAGCAATGGAGGAGTAGACAGGGGCTGGAGGTGGAGGACAGGGTCTCTTTTCTAATAGTGTTTGCAAATTTGGAATCATACAGACTTGGGTTCAATTCCTACTTCCCCAGCCTCTAAGAAGATTCCCTTTGGGGAACATACTTATTTTTAATTTTAAAATAATTTTGGGCCAGTGACTCAGGAGGCTGAGGCAGGAGGACCACAAGTTCAAGGTCAACCTCAGCAACTTAGAAAGGCCCTAAGTAACTTAGTGAGACCCTGTCTCAAAATAAAAAATAAAAAGGGCTCCGGATGAAGCTCAGTACAAAAAAAGGAGGAGGAGGAGGACAATAATTATTATTATTATTATTTTGGGTTTGTGATTGCTTATGCCATTACTGCACTGTACTGACTATTATCTTTGCATAGTGAATTTTGAAATCTATTAGTATAAATCTTCCAATTTACTCTTCAAATTTGAAAATTTTATTTCTGGGATCTTAGAATTTTCATAAAAACTTTAAATCATCATGTCGATTTCCACAAAACATACTATCTGGATTTTCATTTGTATTAAATCTACAGATTCATTTGGAGAGAAATTTCATCTCAAAAATAGTAATTTTTTTAATCAAGGAACATAGAATATGTCTCTATTTATTTAGATCTTTAATTTGGTGCAGCAACATTTTTGTAAATTTCAATGTACACATCTCACACTTTTCAAAATAAATTAATTCCTAAGTCTTTCTTTAATATTTTTCATGCCATTGTGAATGGAATTATATTTTTAAATTCATTGTCCAATTGTTCATTTCTCCTCTTTTAATTTTTTTTTTTTTTTTTTGAGACAGGGTATGGCTAAATTGCTGAGGCTGGCCTCAAACTTGCAATCCTCTTGCCTCTGCCTCCTGCTCCTGACTTGCTAGGATTCAGGTATATACCACCACACGTGGCTCCAGTTTTTCATTTCTAGTATATAAAATACAATTGACTTTTGTGCATTGATTTAATATCCTTCAACTTTATTGAACTGATTAGTTCTAGTCATATTTTTGCATATGTTTTAGGATTTGCAATACACAAAAAGTATATCATCTTCAGGTAAGGAAGATAATTACTTCCTTCTTTCCAATGAGATATCTTCTTTTTTTTTTTTTTAAAGAGAGAGAGAGAGAGAGAGAGAGAGAATTTTAATATTTATTTTTTAGTTTTCGGCGGACACAACATCTTTGTTTGTATGTGGTGCTGAGGATCGAACCCGGGCCACACGCATGCCAGGCAAACGCGCTACCGCTTGAGCCACATCCCCAGCCCGAGATATCTTCTTTTCCATTTTCCTTTTGCATTCTTTTCTTTCTCCCTTCTTTACTGTAATAGCTAAAATCTCTTTCCTATACAATGTTGAATAGAAGTAGTACAAACAGAAATCCTTATTTTGACCAGGCATGGTGATGTAAGCCCAGTGGCTCAGGAGGCTGAGACAGGAGGATGGTGAATTCAAAACCAGCCTCAGCAACTTGGTGAGGCCCCCAAGTAACTTGGTGACACCCTGTCTCTAGCTAAAATATAAAAAGGGCTGGGATATAGCTCAGTTGTTAAGCATCCCTGGGTCAATCCCTGGTAGAAAGAAAGAGAGAGAGAAAGAGAGAGAGAGAGAGAGAGAGAGAGA